AAAATTTGTAGTTGATATCTTATTATCATTGGGCAATTTCAGGGTGATAAAAAAAAACCTACAACTTTTTTTTCGAAATATCTCGCTCAAAATTTGTACTAGAATGTTGTAATTTGGAACAGATATAATTCATTCAAAAGGAATTTGTTTGACGTAAAACTCACAAAGAAGAAACTTTTTTTGAAAACGGAAGTGACTTTTAAAAAAACACCTAAAAATGCAAAATGCACCAATTTAATAGATCTTGTCTTCAAAGTCATGAAATGATTGGTTTGTTTTTTCCTTTCCTTTTATTATAAAAATCTAATCTTTCCATCCCTGTAAACTTTGAACAATATTTCTTTTCTCCTACAGAGATGAAAGAATATTTTTTTAAATTCTGGAATTCCGAGAGCCAATGGTCTATATGTCGTTCTTTGGACTCGACACATTTTAATGCGTCGCTCATAATGTTCAGTGGTGGCCAAACACAAGGATCCACTCAACCATGAGTACTCAAAGCCACAAATACTGTACATCTTACAGTGTGGAGCTGTTTCTAGAGACAGTAGGGGGGGGGGGGTGAGGTGAGGTTGCCCAAATAGACAGCTTTTGTGGAGTTGATATAACCTGAAAGGTGAATATGGCCTTTGCCAAGGAACCAAATGTCATAGAGGAAATCTTCACGCTTTTCAAGACTATCGCGGAATCATGAACACATTTCTATCCTCTGATAGCTTCGCGAACGGGAAAATGGTACAGTCGCAGATGAAGATCTGCCTTGAGAATGCGGACCGTTGAGATGTAGGAAAGTCATTGCTGCAGACATTGTCTATGGACAGACGTCTCATGGGGCTCATCTACTGAATTTTGCACCCTGGTGATGTTTAAGTTTAATAAAGGGGTGCAAACGCTGTGTGTTTGTCCTGAAGTGGTCGTTTTGTCTGGGATTTTTAAAGTCTGATTCTCTACAGGTCCTGACTGATGAACCATTTCCACCCTTGACATCAAAGAAGGCCTAAAGGGCACTCTAACATTATTTTCTTACCTTGTGCGAAACTTACGAAATGAGTTGATGGTGAAGAAATGTTCAATACAAAAAGCTCTCTGCTCTTTACTTATCTTAACCATGATCTCAGCAGGCAAAGTAAACTTGAGAAAAACTGTCTACAAACTTCTGTTGGCCTGTTTGACTTCTGTAGTTTGCAATATGGTGAAATCATTGGGATTTTTTGTGGTAGGCCTAATGCGAACCAATGTGTCATGCTACAAAAATGGTCACATAGCTGAAAATGGGTTGGTTTTTTTAACACGCTATTTAGAGCAACACTATTCTGTGAGTTTATCTAAAATGAATATCAGACAAATTCCTTTTGACTTCTAAATGTTGTGTACAAATTTGAAACTCAAAACTTGTGCTTGAGAAAAATATTAACAAAAAAAGTTGTTCAGTTTTTTTTTTTGGATCCACCTGTTTCGTGCTAAGAGGGTGGATGGTTGGCAGTCAGTTGCGTTACGCTCCTTTTACATCTTGATCAGTTCCTGAAAAAATGTATGGCTTTTATCATGCTGACTCACTGTAATCTGGAATAGAACTTGACATTAACATGCATGTTCTTGCTGTATACTGTTATGGGAATGCATTGTACAGCAAATTTTCTGAATCCAAATTTTTGTTCTAAATTTAATATATTTTTAAAGTATAGAGAAAATAGTCCCTACACTCTCTTTTATTTCTCCCCAGGGCAGTGCCACTGACTGACGTGCCTTTAGGCCATTCCCAAAGGGGGGATATCAACATGTTCTTATGCATAGTAGAATTGTAAATGGGATGATTTATCAATGTCATGCTCATACTGTGCCGGAACAACACAGGGGGAACTGCTGTTTTTTCTTTCCTCATCCTTACTATCGTCATTTTTCCTCTACCATTTTTGTATGTTTGTTACTCTCGTGTGAACTGTTATTTCTGGGGTGCCTTAATAGTCGAAGCAGACTTTATGCTGTTGAGGCTAGAGAGGTGAGCAGAGTAAGCCTGATTCCCGGTTTGGACTTCTCTGTTGACATTCACCCCTTGGCGCTCATATGACCGTATGCAGTTGCGAGCGCCGTAAGATCTTACTAAAACTAAAACTAAACACTCTTTTGTGCTTATTTTCAAATGCTCCAGGCTGTAACCCTGAGACGAATTGTGCTGATTACAAAAAGAGCTATTATTTTAAAACGTAATTTGGTCTGTTAATTTTGAAAATTGATGATATGCTTGAATTTTGCTCAGGTTTGCTCACCTTTATGATTTTGAAGGCGCTAAAGGAGTATGCTCTATATTATATATTAGTTTGCTGTTCAGTGTTAATATTTGTGTGGAAGATAGGTACTTGTGGGTGGTTAAAGGGTGCCATTGGTAGGTCAGATGTTTCTTTTCTTTCCCGTCTTTCATTTTTGTCAGTCTATCTTGCCTATTTCTTTCATTAAATGGCTGTTATTATTGTGTAGCTGTGCCCTGCTTCACTTAAATAAACAAGTCAAACAGAAAGGTTCTTTTTATCAGACAATGGCAGCCATTCTCTAATTTGGTCTTACCAAGATTCTGAGGACTGTAATGAATAAACCTCAGGCAAGTTTAGAATCACTTTTAATTCCAGGTTCAAATTTGGTTATTTTAGGGAGTTTCTTTGTCCACAGATAGTCTTGTCAGAGTCTGGGGTTCCAATTCATATGGGCAGTTGGGCTTAGGCAAGAATGCAGCGGTGAAGTACCAGAACTTTCCAGAGGTTGTAACATCTGTCAAAGGGATCCCTGTGGAGCAAATAGCTGCTGGAGGAAACCACTCGTTCCTGCTGTCAAAGTCTGGAGCTGTCTATGGTTGGGGGCGGAACAGGTAACTGTACTGTAGTTTTGTATATTTTGTTTTGAGTTTCTCCCCCGCTTTGGGATTTGTTGATCATTTCAAAGGCTGAGTGCAGGACTTTAGAGGTTACAGCTGAGAAGGAAAAAACGGAAGGACAGAAAATTCAAAATGGAAAAATGATACTTAAATGAAAATGTCATCCATGCACTACTGAAAGAAAAGGTAATGTGTGTTGTTCTAGCCAAAGGGGGATGCTGGTTTGACTGTAGCCGTTTATTACCCCAGCCGATAAGAGTGGGAACTCAAGAAGAGGACATCATGTTGCTGACTTTGACACGTCAATAAAGAAAGCGTCCACTGTGGAAATTTCAAAGAAAATTTTTAATTATCGGTGTTGGTCTTGTATCTCAGAATGAATTTACAACTATGTTTAGTATTTGCAGCGTTTAAAGAACATTTTTTTTCACCAAATTTATCCTTTTGTTTTGTTACTTTAGTCTGGTAGGTTTGCACTGAGTGTGTAAATGAATAGCTTGTAGGTTGATTCCTATCTTAGCCAGGTAAAATGTTGTGTCCTTTGGGAAGGTACAACTTACCCTATTTTTCTTTTGTTCTCCCACTTGTAAGGGAGTACTTGGCAATCGATGGAGACAAATGTGGTAACAAGGACGCTGTACACACAACAGGTTGCTGTGCTTTATGTTCCCTTGGGACTTAGGAGTTATTTTTATGAGCGTTAGCAGCCTTCTTATAGAGGGATACAGTTGTATGGACTGTTACTTAAGCTCTTTCTTACAAATGAACTTTAATAATGGTTGTGCTCATGTTTGTTTCAGCTTTGGTCAGTTAGGAGTGAACGATACCAAAGGTGAGTACATTTAGAAAAGGATTTTAATGTATTGAAAGAATGGTGCTGATCTTGATCAGCTAGTGATAAATTTTTAAAATAATTTTCTAACACTAATGGATATATATGAGAAGCTTGACAATAATGGAAGATTACCACTTCTTCTAAAGTCATAAGAAAATGTAAAAAGACAGATCCAGTTTTCCATACTTTGTGGACCATAGCTAAAGGTGATTTTTACCCAATCGTAAATGTTTAATTATATAAATTGCTATGTTTCTATTTTGAGGGATTAAGTTGGAAATGTTTGTTTCTAAAATGTCCTCCCTTTTTTTATGCCAGGCATAATATTGTTTTTGAACAAAGATGACTTCATGCTGTGCTTCTTGATTTCTTGATGACTTCACAGATTATGATATGCCAAAACAGTGCCGTTCATTGAGAACTCAAAAAATCAAATACATCTGTGCTGGGGAAAATCATTCTGCTGCCCTCACTGCGGTAATTATTTCTTTGTTAATTTGTCAGTTTTTAGACCTCTCTGTAAGTCTTTCTTGCCGTTTGCTTTCTGCCTAAGCCTGTTTGTCTTTTTGTCAGTCTGTCTGTTTGTGAAACCTATCTGTGTGTCTCTCTGTCAGGCAGTTTTATATTGAAAAAGAAACATAAGTTACGCGTAGCATGAATTAGTAATACTAGGCGTTTTTCGTTAATTTGTCCATTGAAAGACTTGATTTCTTTTATTTGTATGCCTTTGAATGTACCATTGTAAGATAATATTATGAAATGGACAATTGTAAAAAACGGTATTTTATATTTGTTTATGGGTGAGTAGTAGTGACAATTGGTAGGTTACTGCATTTGGATTTTTTGGAAATTAAAATGAAAATCCCAAAAGCCATTGCAGTTACTTACCATATGTCACCGCCCATAACCCCCTACCAGCAGAAGTAAAAAGACAACTTATCAAGAGTATAATATTCCTTCCAACACTGACTTACCAATGCCAAACGTGGCAGTGGCAGCTAAACACAGCACAAGAAAGGAATATCATTGCTTGTGAGATGAAATGCCTTGGAGAATTAATTAATGCCTCAAAGAAACACTACAGACGGCGGAAGGAAACTGAAATTGAACAGAAATGAAACTGGTTATGGAACATATAGAACATCAAAGAATCGAGCGGTTCGGTCTTCTGATGAGAGTGCCCCGAAACCAACTAGCTGCATGAGTATTCTTCTCAAGAGAGTCAGGGTACAAGGGTAGAGGCAGGCCACGCAAAACTTGGCTGGATGGCGTCAAAGAGGTCCTCAAAAAGAATAATATATCAACAACAGGAAGCCACCCTCCTAGCCCTTGACTGAAAACTGCACCTCCCCTTGACTTGTAACAATAGAGGAAGTATAAAGTAAAGTAAAAGTAAAAAGTATGTGTTTCTATTTTAAACACATTGGTTATCTACTTCTTGTCTTCCCTGGACAGGATGGTCGTGTGTTCACGTTTGGGGCAGGGAGTTACGGCCAGCTGGGACACAATAGCAACAGCAACAAGATTTTACCATGCCAAGTTATTGAGCTGTCTGGAGTGGAGGTCTCTCAGATTGCTTGTGGGAGGTAATGATTTGAAATAGTACATTGAATGACAAGCTGGCTAAGGGAGCTGTTGTGAAGTTGTGTTACCTTTTGGAGAAAGATATTTTACAATAAATAGACATATCAGTATCAGCGTTAAGTTTTTAAGATTTTTTTACAGTTCAAACTCTGTATAAAATAAAACTTCTGTTTGCTTACCTATTGAGCTTAGAGAAGAAAACAAATTTATGAGCCATGTGAATGGATTTCCTGTTTATTGTGGGGCTTTGAGATTGAGAATGATTTTGATCCTTTTAAGTATAATAAAATGTGACACTCACTGCATTTGTTATGTTCGCTAAGAGGAATTGAATTTTAACTCAACTGCCGGTCAAGCCCTCCGTGGTTATGGGATGCGCACTAACCGATCCAGTCACTTGCGCTCAACCTTTGACCCGTCGCCACGTCTACCTGTTCTCCAGGCAGGAGGCACCAGTAGTGGCTATTTTGTGCTCTTGGCTGTTCATTATTTTGTGTGTGTGGTGTGTGTGTGTGTGTTCCCTTACCCCTTGTTTCCAAAGCGGATTCGGTAATTTATAAAACTTTAATATTTTTTCTTGCATAAATTACTTGTATTATGATACTGCTGTAGTATAATTTGTTATTCGCTGACATTATTACCACAGCACATCGCCCCACCCACGGTCTCGGATCCCCTTCAATAGGCTCTCTGAGCAATACTATCACCTTCATAGGCACAATTCTTGCCCTCTGGGCTCCTTGGCCTTGCCCTAGTGGCTTGACAGGGTTTCAGTATTGTGTTTTATATTATTAATTGTTTTTTTTTTAAACAAAGGATGAATCATGGCAGATACTGAAGACAATTTGTCTGTACATGGTCCTTATTTAGATGAGGATGAGACTCTTGCGGGGACGGAAAGTGCTCCTGAACCTTCCTCGAGCCGAGGCAGTAAACAAAAACGTATGACCTTTCCCTCCTCTGCTCAGTCAGATACTGATATTATTAAAGACGTACTAAAAAGGAATACGGAGGCAATGGATGCATTGGTTAGGTCAATGAGTGCAAAAAATAAAAGAAAAAGGAAAAGGTCTGTACCTTCATCTTCGCGTGAGTCCCCCATTCCAAAGCACAAAAAGAAGCGCTATTACAAAAGCAGTGAAAAACGGACAAGGAAAGTGAGCGAGACCACCCAAGCATCTCATTCTAACCTTGAAGAGACAGGAAATGTGTTATCAGATGGCGAGATAATAAACGATCTGTTCTGCCCCCTGACAATGACTATCGAGGGGAACAAAACGAAGGGGCGTTAGGTTTGGCAGGGGATTGGTTTGCGGAGGCGAACAACGAATACGAGGTAGATGAAGAAATAACGGACCCCCTGTCCGAAAACCTCGCAAAGTTTGTGGAGAAAAGATTTTGCACAACAATGAAAGATGATAAGATGAAAGAAAAGGTAAGTAAGTACAAAAGGCCAGGAAATTGTGAAGCGCTCCTGGTACGACAAACAAATCCAGAGATTTGGAAACTGTTACAAAGCGGGGGGAAAAGGAATGATGCCAAGTACACCGCAATCCAGAAAACGATTGCGAAAGCGACTACTGCGGTGGTATAGTGTGCTGACCTTTTGGTCAAGGATAGTGAAAGCAAAAGGCCCATTGTCCAAAAGTTATTGGACGTTATCTCCATCCTCGGACACTCCCAGCAGAAAATCTCCAGCCGCAGAAAGGAAGCACAAAGGTGGGCCTTACCCATGAACATGAAGGGTATTTGTGATGTACCAATTGACGGTACTAAATCCCTCTGTGGGGACAACATAAAGAAAACTATTCATGATGCGAACGAACAAAGAAAAATGATGCAATTTTCCTCCCCACGTGCCTCTCATGCTTACACCTCAGCGTACGGCAAACCTGCTCAGCGGGACAGAAAGAGGCATTTTTTAGCCTTTCAGGCCGGGCGTCCGTCTGGCCAGAGAGGGCGGGGCTCTGCCCACAGGCCCTCAGCGAGCCACGTTGCAGTGGCGAACAAAAGGAAGTAACTACGACTATTGACGGAAATATGGTAAGTATGAATGACATTGAGGTAATAAAAAGATTATTGGAGACAATAAAAGATCCAAATTTCAAGGCAGGGCAAATTTCCCTTTTTAAAGAACTTTGGAAACATTTAACATCAGATAAAGCAATTTTAGATATGGTGTCTGGAACAATCATAGAAATTTGCGAAGAGCCGCTTTCTAAGAGAAAAGCAGATTCTAGTTATATGATGAGTGAGACAGAGAAAAATGTAAAAGACAATGAAATCAGTGATCTATTGAATGAAGGGGTTATTGTGGAATCACGACACGAACCAGGTGAGTTCATCTCCTCCATATTTACCAGAAAGAAGAGTGATGGCTGATATAGAATGATCGTAAACTTGAAAGAATCCAATGTAAATATTCAATATGAGAAGTTTATAATGGAAACTTTAGCTACGACTTTGAATCTAGTGTCCAGAAACTGTTGGATGGCAAGTATAGATCTTGTTTCTGCATATTACAGCGTCCCCATTACCGCAGAAGATAGAAAAATACTTAAAACTCCTCTGGAAGGGGCAACTCTACGAGTACACTTGTTTCAGCAATGGCCTGGGCCAGTGTCCAAGAAACTTTAGAAAGCCGACAAAGCCAATATATGCGCACTTGCGTAGTTAAGGGCACCTTAGCACTGGCTATCTTGATGACGCACTGCTTCTAGCAGATGAAAAGGTAGAGTGTTTGGAAAACGTAAGTGACACGATATCAGTTTTTGATAAACTAGGGTTTGTCGTGCACCCTACAAAATCTGTTCTCACTCCTATACAAGAAATAACCTACCTTGGGTTTATCATTAAATCGAAGGAAATGACATTAACTCTTACTGAGATAAGGAAAGAAGCTATTTTGGAGGCCTGCCTGGAAATTTCCAGCTGTCAGTTTAACAAAATACAAGACGTAACAAGACTCATAGGTCTGCTGGTCGCTGGTCTTTTATTGAAAAAGACAAGATGAAATCTTTAAAAGCATACAAATATAATTGGGAAAAAATCAATACTCTTATCGCCACAAGCTCTTGAAGACATAGAGTGGTGGAAAAGAAACATTTGCTCGTCTGTGAGTCCAATAACTAGACCAGACCCTCAGTTGGTGGTCACCACAGATGCCAGCACAAAAGCTTGGGGAGCTGTCTGTGGCACTCAAAAAACAGGTGGAGCCTGGTCACACGAAGAAGCATGCAATATGCATATATTAATGAGCTAGAAATGCTCGCAGTCTTTCTGGTCTTGAAATCGTTTGCGAAAGGACTGAAGGATGTTCATGTCCGACTATTTGTGGACAACACAGCAGCAATGATTTACCTCAACTAAATGGGATCAGTAAAATCCACTAAACTCGATGAGTTTGCCAAAAACATGGAATTGGTGTATCAAAAGAAACACATGGCTGTCAGTTGCGAGAATCCCTGGCTCTGAAATACACAGGCAGACTATGAAAGTAGACATGCTAGTGTTGACACTGAATGGCTAATAGACTCAGAACTTTTGAATTTCGCCTTGAAAATTTTGAAGTGTACGCCTGATGTAGACTTATTTGCATCCAGGCTGAACCACCAGTGTGAAAGGTATGTATCTTTAAAGCCAGACCCAGTGGCTTTCGCAACTGATGCATTCATATTAAACTGGAAAACACATAATTTTCTGGCCTTTCCACCCTTCTCTCTCCTTCCCAGTGTCCTTAAAAAAATCAAGGAAGATGTAGCAAAAGGTATAGTGATTGCACGATTCTGGCCAACTCAACCATTTTTTCCTCTCCTCTTGAAACTCCTAGTGAGTCAACCAGTTCTACTGTCAGCACGCAAAAGGCTTATGGCCCTACGAAGCCACCAGGATGTTCTACATCCACTGAGGAAAAGGCTAAGACTGCTAATATGCAGGTTGTCAGGCAACAGTACACACGACAAGGCTTTTCAGAAGAAGCTACAAAGCTCATCATGGCCTCATGGCGACCTGATACTAGGAGAGCCTATAACACATATATTACAAAGTGGAAGAGGCTCGCTTTTAGGACCCAAGTGGACCCCATTTCACCGCCTGTGACTGCGGCGGTTAATTTTTTGAGAGAGAGGAGCTCAGGAGCTTCATTCTCCGCTGTGTGCACTGCAAGGTCAGCCTTGTCATGCTACTTAAAAGTAGAAAATGGTCTATTCGGAATTCGTGACTGTGTCAAAAGACTGGTCAAAGAATATTTGAAAGCCAATCGGCGGTACCTTTGAGAAGTAAACTGACAATGTGGGACCCGCTGCCTGGACTTCTTCACCCATGAGGATTTGACTTTAAAGGAACTAACTTTGAAACTAACAATGTTTCTAGCTTTGTTATCTGGGCAAAGATGCCAAACCATTCATTCTTTGGACATAAATTTCATAAAATTAACAGAAACAAAATGTTCATTCATAATAATTAAGACTCTCCTTAAGCAATCCAGGAAGGGGCACCACCTTGACCCAATTGTATTCATGACTTTCCAAGAAAACAAAAGCATGTGTGCATAGTAAACATGCTGAAGGTGTACATAAATATGACTAAGGCCCATAGGGAAGGTAACGGAGCCTCAAAACTGCTACTCAGTTTCCAAAAACCGTTCAAACCGGTCAGCAGAGACTCTGTGAGTAGATGGTTAAAAACAGTCCTTTCTATGGCTGGTATTGACGTCTCAATATTCACAGCTCACAGCACCAGAAGTGCCAGTATGTCTTGTGCTCTTCAGGCTGGAATCTCCATAAATGCCATCTTGGCTGCTGCGGGATGGTCAAAAGAGACCACTTTTACTCGATTCTATAAAAAACAAGTCGGAGAAAATTTTGGAGAGAAACTGATCCAGACTTATTTTACCTCAAAATATTCATATGATTTGCTCATCATGTAACCCTTCGTGTGTAAATATTATGAGCTGTTGATCTCAAATTCTGTGCCTTTATGGTTTTTTCTGTGCATATCCATGTGATTTTATAAACATATTATATTGTGATCAAAATCCACAGCTTTGTTGATTCATTTGAACATGTATTATCTTCTAATTGCTGTGTGCTTGTAGCCTTACACCTGAATGATATTCAGTGAGAGTAAAGTGAAGCAGTCACAGTTGAGCTCTGAAATCCCATATTACCACGGAGGGCCTGACCGGCAGTTGAGTTAAAATTGTAGAAACAATCGAGACTTACCTGTCAGTTGATTGCTTTTGATTTTGACGATCTGTTGTCAGGAACGGAGTGGTAATATGCCCTCCCTTAATCCCTCCCGATGTGTATGACATACAGTGCTCAGTTCATTGATGTTGTTGTGATGATACTATGAACTATATTATATTGTGCATGCCAAAGTTGTACTACATCGAGTATAACACTATGGGCATGCTCATATCGACTGTGACTGGGTGAAGAGTGACTGGATCGGTTAGCGCACATCCCATATTACCACTCTGTTCCTGATGACAGATCGTCAAAATCAGAAACAATCATCAACTTACAGGTAAGTCTCGATTCTTTCTACAATTATAATACACAAAAATACAATAAAGTGCACTGATTTAACCTCACAGATAAATGTAATTAATGTTTCAGGTGCCACACTCTTGCATTTGTGCCAAGCACAGGTCATCTGTATGCATTTGGACTAGGGGGGAGTGGGCAGCTTGGGACCTCCTCATTGGAGAACAAAAACAGCCCTTTTTTGGTGCAGGGTCCTTTTGTCAGCCAGAGTGGAGCAGGCACCAGCAACATGCAAGTGGACAACCAAGGACCAGAACTCTGTGTCAAGAGTATCTACACAGGGGGAGATCACTCTTTTGCTCTCGTTCAAGATTGTTCAGTAAGTTGGGATACTGTTCTTAAATACAGTTCAGTCTTGATGTTGATTGAAGTTGGATCTAGAATTTCCACGGATAAAAGTTGTATTGCGTGTTATTGTTTATACATCCTTGAATGAATGCATACAAATTTTCTCTGAATGGAGTGTTCTATCGTATTCAAGAGCATTTTCATGATTGATGAGTGGGGGGGAAGGGGGCATCTATGATTCTTCATTCGCTGATCATTCCCTTTTATGTTATTTTTATTTTTTGAATTAAGTTTATAGCTTGTCCACTTTCGTCTTACTGCGGTTAAAACACGATAAAATTAAATCGCTCAGTTTAATATTCTCAGATCTTTGCTTATGGGTCTAAAAGTTTGACGACCAACTGAAATCTACAAGCCCATTTATAAAGATCATTGCAAACTAAGGTTCCGACTCATTTTCTTTAATGTAAGTCTAAAGCATGTAAAAAAAATAATAAAGGATTTACAACATACACCTAAAACATTAAAAAATTGACATATTTTCTTCAACACCACACTTTAAGATGCACCTTAGAAACTTGATTCAATAGATGTGGTGAGTAATTTTTGAGACTCAGGTGGAGCACATGGAGACGTCTACAAAGCTGGGAGATAAATTACAAGCTTACACTGAAATGTGGGGGCAGAGTGGTGTCGCTGTCTCAAAACAAGCAGTTTGTGGATAAGGTTACTGTCAATAATTTATTTTAGTGATCATGTGTATGCATCCAAAGAGCGGGTTTTGATATAGATGACCTAAAAAGGAAAACTTTTTTGGTACTGGATCAAGATTTAAGAAAATAAATTTTTGTTTGGTTGTTGGCCTTCAGAAGTGCCATGCAAAGTTTTGTGGACATAGGTAAATTAATAAATGAGCTAGAATTCTTTTAACATGGTCAGACAAAAGTGAAAAGCTGTAATATGAAATTTTGTACTGGGCAAAGGACTGGAGAATTTGGAAAAGAAAAGCTGGCTGGATGATTTAGCTAGACTGTGGGGTCTTTGTTTACCTTGGTACGTGTCACTTTACATTGTTTGAAAATTCCTGTTCTGTTCCATTTTTGTGTATTTGAATCTTAAGGTAGCAACAAAAGTAGCCTTTAAATAAGTTTGTTCAACTGGTGTTTGGTGCCAAAGTTAAAACGTAAGTTCCTCAGTGAAAATGGATGTTTCTCAGCTGGCATGAGTTTGTGGTTGTTAGTAGTGCCAGTATGGTAGCAATGCTGAAAAAAAAACATGTCTCGTTTTGTTACAATGACTTATGAATTCAGTTCAAAGGTGTTCTTGAAGTAGGGATAGGCAATCTCAGCAAAATTTGTAGTTGTGATGTATATCGTTGACCTGAGAGGTAATACTTTTACAGTAATCATACTAAAACCTTCATGGGATTCTTGTATTTGCAGGCTTGCCATTCTGAGGATTTTCGGGAAAGAGATCATGTCAGGCAAATCCTTACACTTTCCCAGAAAAGAATTGAAATGTTTCATGACCTCAAATCAAATGATACCCCTCCGCATGAGCTTTCAGAGTGAGTATGTTTACCTTAATCTTTTTAATCGAATCATTGCCCAAGACCAAGCTGTGCTGTGAACTGTCGTGAACACAACCAATTGTTTTGATAAGTAGCCCAGACTTTATTTTAAATTATTTCTCACTTGATAGTAAACCTTTGTAACTTCCGAAACATTGTTAGATCTTATTTTTAATGTTTCCGTTCCAAGTATTATTTCCTGGATGTTCCTAGTACAGTGGAGTCCACTTATAACGAGTCCCGAAATAACGAGAAGTCTGTTATAAAGACACTATTCTAAAACCCTGTTTTTTCCCTTCTTTATCTTTGTAAATAAAATACTGCTATGGCACAATCAGACAGTCACGCAAGTCGGTTATAACGGAATATTGCTGCTGCTGTGCACAGCGCACTGACCAATTAAACATAAAACCTCGCCAGTTGAGAAAGTTGTTGGTGATCCAGCGAAATAGAATCAAAGAATGGGAGAGTCCACGTGAATCAACAATGAAGGCTGGAGCGAATGAGTGGGGAGGGTGTGGCATGCGCAGACAAGCAGAACACATTGCATGATAGACCAGCCTAGTCTAGATTTTCTTGGCCTACCATGCCTCTCACTTCCTTGGTGTGGGATGTAGAGGTCACAATGCTGTGATAGATGGAATGAATGTGTGACGTGCGCAAGCAGATGCAATGCACCAAAGGGTGTGGTGGGGTGGGGGACAACACAGTGGGCGTGTTAGCCTAGAGCCAGAGCCCCTACATTCTGATCGCCAACGCCAAGCTGTCAACTTTGCTTGTGCTAGAGAAAGATACTTGATTCAATTCTTGATTAAGTAAGACCTAGAGATTATGTTGAACAAAATCATCATCAGGGGAAATATAAAAAGGAATAAACAGAACACCCAACTCATAGATTAGGCCTACTTTACTATTTCCCTTGAATTTATTACTGGATCCCTTACAACGAGAATCCTGCTATAACGGAAATTTTGCACCCGTCCCCTCCCTCTCGTTATAACAGGATTCCACTGTATTTGTAAAGATTCTAAGAGCATTACAGATTGCAGAGTGTATTTGTGATTACGGCTGATACATTTTAGTTCTGATAGCAATGGGTTTTGCATGTCAACACTGTCTTGTGTTTTTCAGAATAGCACATGTATTTGCTGTTCTTATACATTGTCTTCTTGTGCATGCTTCCTCTGTTTAATTTTGCTTCTAGACTGGTGAAAATAAGTTTTTGTCCTTGTTTATTTATGCAGTAATACCTAGTTGAGTTGACCATCTTTGTTTAGATGAATGGTGGTTACCGCAGGCTGGTCTTCACCATTAGTAGGTTAGTTTGTTAGTACAAAGCTATACATAATATAACATCTATGTGGCAAAATCTGGTTAAGGCACACTCTGAATTTCTTCAAATGGAGTATTGATAAAGTTTGTCTCATGATGTTTTATATGTGTGAATTATTATGTTGCCACTGCTTCTTTATTTACATGTTTTGTTTCCTTTCAGTGAGATGACAAAAATCTTTTCTCATGCATCATGTTTGAATGGCTCATTTCTCTTGCCGTAAGTACTGAATTGTATATGAGATCAAGATAGTTTATAGAGTGAAAAATGTTTACAAAAATTTTGAAATAAGTTAGACATTTCCTCGTAATTTGTAGAATATGTTATGGGAGAATATGGATTGTTTTAATTTTTCCTGTTTTAGAAAGTTACTTTAACATCGTAGAGAAGATCTCCTACCTTAGGTTGGAATGGGAGGATTTTTGCTTTTTTTCTATTTCCCTATCAGAAACATTTTGTTTATTTTACTTTTTCTTTTACATTTGAGGTTTATACCTAGCTTTGTTGAATCACACTATTTCATTTTGGCTGTAATAAGCACCGGAAGTTTTGTTGAGTCCTGTTTTTTTGTTTTGTTTTAGTAAATCAATTTATAGATTATTGTTATACTGAGTCTAAAGAAAAAGCTCGTAGTATGCTGGGTTGATTGTTGCGACAAAAGCAACAAAAAATAATGCAAGGCTTAGGAAGATTCAATTTTGGTAGTTTTCCAGTTGGTCCAATTTCTGCCTTGACCTGTTTGCATATATAGGTTTTATATGCTTTAACTTACTTGCAACATCAATATAATTGAGTAGTATCACCACATTTATGATTGTCTTCCACAGACATGATGAGCACTATGGCAGCAGTAGTAAAAAGCACGGTGTGGATATGAATGCAGTACGGGAATTTTTTCAGGGTCTCTCGAAGCTTCCGAACATTGTCATCAAACAATATGTGAGTTCTTATACTTTACTTTTACTTTTCCGATCCAGCGGCCATTTGGGTTCTAGCCCTTCAGTCTGTATGTGAGTTCTTATAAGATGTTAATGTTGGAGGGTTCTGCTGGTTGGTTCTACTTCTTTTTTTGTCCTTCTTTTGTTTTTTTCTGGGCTATCATGAGTCTGAAGTATAACATCTTTGAAGGAAAATCTTTAAAAACTTGTGTACACTCTGATGCTCAGGTATGGGTGCGTTGCCTGTGTTACCTACCTGGTACTTACTCTTTTAATTTTGATGGTCACTCTCTGTTGAAAATACTTTCTGTGAGGCCATTTGAAAGTAAAACCCTGCCTTTCTCTGGGAGACTTGGGTGGCGGCTGGAACAAATGTGAAGTTGTGTGAGCCTTTTGTTGGGAGGGATTCAGGACTATAGATGAGCTCTTTATAATATATTATGTTCATGCTGTTGTTGTTGAAGAACGTGAGGTTAGATGTGTGTTTGGACGTGTGAATGTGAGAAAGGCGTGTGGTCCAGACGGTGTGCAACCCAAAATTCTGAAAATGTGTTCAGCTCAACTTAGTTTTATTTACACCTATATTTTCAACCAGTCGCTGTTGACAAATGCTATTCCCACTATTTGGAAATGTTCTGAAATCATCTCCCTTCCAAAGAAAGAAAAAATTACTGAAATGAATGACCTAAGGCCAATAGCCTTAACATCCGTAGTTATAAAATGTCTAGAAAAAATTGTGCCAAAAATACTACGAACACACATAGAACCCATCCAGGACCCTCTACAATTCGCATATTTGTCACGGGAGAAGTGTGGAAGATGCCATTCTACTCTTTCTTGACAACATATATAGAGAATTAGACAAGCCAAAAACATACTGTAGGATCCTGTTTGTTGATTTTTCTTCAGCCTTTAATACTGTCCAGCCAGCTATCCTTTTAAAGAAATTAGAAAACATAGGTGTTAACGTCAATTTAATATCATGGATAGGTAATTTTCTTATCAACCGAACCCAGTATGTAAAATTAAAACATTCTACATCGACATACATCACAACAAATACAGGGGCCCCTCAAGGATGTGTTTTGTCACCAGTTTTATTCACATTACACAGGAACGATTGCCAAATAAACAACAGTAACACCCAGTTGATAAAATTTGCTGATGATTCAACCTTAATTGGGCTAATTCAGGCTGACCATATCGAAACCGCTTACCGGAATTTTGTACTTAACTTTTCTGAATGGTTTGAAAATCATAAGCTGCTTTTAAATGTGAAAAAAACCCAAAAGAACTTGTTGTTTATTTTAGAATAAAGAAACTGCCCCTGCAGCCACTCGAAATTAAATGTGAAAACATCGAGCAAGTGTCAGACTATAATCATTTGGATTTTACAATAGACAACAAACTCAACTGGCGTGTCCACACTTCTCTCCTGCACAAAAAAGTGAACAAAAGTCTATTTTTTCTAAGGAAGCTAAAGTATTTTAAAGTTGATAAAACATTGATGTCCATGTTCTACCTTTCAAGCATAGAAAGGATGATCAATTTTTGTATAACAGCATTGGCCGGGAACACAAGACAACAAGATAAAGAAAAATTGAATCGACTGATACGGAAAGCATGCAAAATTTCAACATCTACGAGTACATTCCCCTACTTGGATGAATTGTACATAACAGCTTGCACTAAAAAAATTAATTCCATCTTTTTAGACAACAAACATCCCTTGTTCCCTCAAATATAAATATCAGTCAGAAGTAAAAGACCTAGACTTCTGATCTGTAACAAAGAAAGATATAGAAGGTCATTTTTACCTCCATCTATCAAAATGTTTCCATCTTAACCATCTTGAAAAAGTATACTTATGACCTTAGAGCATGCATCAAAATAACATTGAATGTGTATCTAGCTTACGATTATTATTGTTTATATTGCTGCTTATTTATATTATGCATGTGATTGTAAGCCTACGTGTGTGTGCATGTGTGTGCGCGCGCTTATGTGTCAAACATTTACTCGAAGGAGAGGAAGCTCCTTTTTGCGTGGCGTGCAACACAAATTTCACAGTTCGGCACATCCTAACAGAATGTGTCGAATTTAATGATGTGCGTGAGAAGTATTTTAAATGTAAAGATATCAAAACCCTTTTTAACATTGTAGCCCCTAGAAAAATTTTAAGTTATGTAAAAGAAATAGGACTATTTAATAGAATATAAAATATATAGTTATCGTTATCGGTGTATATATATACATACACTGAAATTAATATTGCATATACAAATGTAGACAAGTCTTTATCATATTTACAAACATTTTAATAAATTTCTGTCCGTCATTTTAGCATAATGAGAATAGTGTGACCGTGTGCGGTTGCGAGGTCCAAAAAACTCTTACTAAAACACGTCTGATTTTGTTGCGGTGAAACCTGTTGGCGCTTAAATGACCAAAATTGTGTCGATACTGCTGTAAAACATCTACTCAATCAATCAATCAGCGTATGTGTGTGTGTGTGTGTGTTTGTGTGTGTGTGTGTG